CATAACACGCTGGCCGAACCGCACACCCTCCCTGCGGGAAGGCGCCAGCCAGGACTACTGCACGAGAAAAGTAGCCAAAAGAGGAAGCAGGAACAATAAAACCGGCCAAAGAAGCAAAGAGCCCAAAAAGGAACCCAACCGGGCGACAAGCAGCCCAACCGGGCGACAAGCAGCCCTACCGGGCGACAAGCAGCCCTACCGGGCGACAAGCAGCCCTACAGGGCGACAAGCAGCCCTACAGGGCGACAAGCAGCCCTACAGGGCGACAAGCAGCCCTACAGGGCGACAAGCAGCCCTACAGGGTGACAAGCAGCCCTACAGGGCGACAAGCAGCCCTACAGGGCGACAAGCAGCCCAACAGGGCGCAACCCGTTCTCGCAAATTCGTAAAGTCAATATTGACTTATTAACTACGTGCATAGGTGATATACTAAACATAATAGATACTCTTAAAAAGATTCATAGAAAACACCAACCTTACCTAACCTTGTTAGTATCTTAAGATAAGCATCTTATTGCTTCGTAATTACAATTATTACTTAACCTATACCTATTATAGGTTAGGTAATAATTGTAATTACGATGCAATAAGATGCTTATCTTAACATACTAAGTAGGTTAGGTAAGGTCTGTGTTTTCTATGAATCTTTTTAAGGGTATCTATTATGTTAAGTATGTCACCTATGCACATATTTAATAAGTCAATATTGACTTATTTAATTTACGAGAACGGGTTGCAGGGCGACAAGCAGCCCAACAGGGCGACAAGCGGCCCAACAGGGCGACAAGCGGCCCAACAGGGCGACAAGCAGCCCAACAGGGCGACAAGCAGCCCAACAGGGCGACAAGCAGCCCAACAGGGCGACAAGCAGCCCAACAGGGCGACAAGTAGCCCAACAGGCCGACAAGGACGAGGAGCCGACAGACGTTCTAATAATGCGGGAAGTAGTGAAAAACCTTCCCGTACCCTCGAGAACAGAAGCCAACACTAGTCCCGAAGGCACACGAAGGCGCAGGCGCACCCGAGATCAGAAGTCACGCAGAACCCCATCGAACGGGGAAACATGACGAAAACACTGTCCCAAAAAGGGGTGGGAGGAAACATCCACCCACAGGACGGAACCAACCGACTCAAAGGCCAAGGAACCGAGCCCGGGGAGAGGCCGACGCCCAACAGCACGTACGGCGAGTGGGGAGGAAAAACCCCACTCCGCGTAACCACAAGCCCCACCTAGAGGGGGATAAAAAACCCCACGGGGTCCAACGGGGCCAAGGCCCCCCCAAGTCAGCCCCTTCCCAGCCCTGGGAACCTACACGACAGGCCCCGGGGCCGAGCCATTCCCCCAAAGCCCCGGCCGTACCAGAAAACCGGGGCAGCCGTGAAAACACTAATGAAGGGAGCCCACTGGCAGACTCGTACAACACGGCTGGAGGAACAGGCTCAAATGCCCCCGTCACTACCCCGGAAGGGGAATTCCCCGAGACTGCCCGAGTCTCAACACCATCAAAAACCCCGCCCCGAACCTACAGACGGTAAGGAACCGGATGCAGGCAGGAAGGGTGATCCAGGGGAAAGACAAGGGGGCGTGGATGGAACCAAGCAACCAACACCCCCAAGTCCCAAAACGAACTACAACGGGGCAGCCCCGGGGCTCCCGGGGAGGAAACCACGAGAACGTTGCCACCACCAAGGCTCAAGTGCAACGCCCCTGCTGCCTGCACCCGCTTTGTTAGCACAACTGGGTAACCGAGCCACAACGAGCAACCAAACTCGCACGACTCCGGGTCGAAGGTGTCACCGACCCCACAGGCAGCAGACGGAGGCAAAACAGAGAGTCGCCCAGAGACAAAGGGTGAGAGCAACCCTCAAACTCGCTGGAAGCGAGGGGAGGACTCTGGGGTCACATCCATCGGACCCTCGCGCCCCCAGGGGTTTCCCAGGGTCCCGAGCGTTTACTATAAGAGGACTCGCGCTCAGCTAATCCCAGGCAGGGTACTGCTAACCGGCACCCAAAGCTACCAAACAACTTTCTAAGAGCTGAACCCCCGGGACGTGTACACTCACAGGTACCACCTAGCAGGGGTACCACCAGAAAATACTCAGAACACAAGGGACACAAGGGGCAAGAACGAAGGCAGACCCCCCCCACCAGGTAGATAAAGAAAACCCCGCAAGAGGACAGCGTACCCAAGCGGAACAGAGCCGGCCGCTATGATTGGTAAAGACAAGCTGCACAGTTCCCTGCGCCCCACCAGTGCAAAAACTGCCCCGTACTCTAAGGCGTACAAGGGAGACAGAACACCCGAGCACACAAAGAGCGGCCGAAAACCAAGCAGTAAACGGCCAAGCAGGGGCAGGACCCAAGGAACTTGTGGAAGGAGGCCCCAAGCCCCAAGGGCAGTACTTACAGGGCAAGCCCTAGGCGCATGCAGCCCGAGTACTGAAGAATCACTCCCGGCTCATGCACCACCTAGAAAACAGACACCACACTCTAGGTACAGTGCTGAAACAACCACTGGAGCCGGAGCACATAACCATTGCCCATAGCATCAGCCGAAGAACTGATGGGTGGATAGCTGGCGTGGGAGGTCTGGGGCTTCCCCCTCTCGGGGAGGGGGGAACTGCGCAGACAGCGGCGCGGTGACGTATGACGTCATACTAGTTTCCTTGTTTTCTGTTGAAGAGTTCTATCCACTAGTTCGGCTTTAGGTAGCAATTTTCACCAGAATAGGGGTTTGTTTTGGAATGCTTACCTTTCTGGATGCTTGACCCGGTCGATGGCAGACAGAATGCTTCCAACCACACGGGGGTTTCTATAGGCCATTGCTCCCCTTGCCTCTCTGAGGGGGCCAGGTTCTGGCTCGTAGTCCCCGGTAGGCCCTAGAACTCCATACACATGACTGATGCCAAAGTCTGACATTAGCATATCAGCCGGTAAAGCTCCAGGAAGCCGACGGGGCTCCCCCCAGAAAAAAGTGTTGAATGTAATGAAATGCCATTTTCTGGGTAGAGCCCCTGGAGGCTCATGGAACTATTGGACTGATACTATATATTATTAATACTGGGCTTCAGTCTTATGGAGTTGTCATGCCTACCGGGGACCACTAGCCAGAACATAGTCCCCTCAGAGGCAAAGGGTGCAATGGCCTGTGAAACTCTTATGTACAAAAGTACAATATTCATGTTTGCCATTGACCAGGGTTGAGCACCCAGAAAGATAGTTGCTTCAAAACAGACCTCTCCTGGTAGAAATATTGCAACCTAAAACTGAACAGAGGCTAGAAACTCCCCCAAAGAGAAACAAACGACATGCCATCACACCTCGCGCCGCTCGTTTGCCCCCCCCCCCCCCCGGGAGTGGGAGAGGGTTTTCCAGACTGTCAGTTTGGAGACTGAAAAACAAACAAAACCCGCCTACCTGGGAGGGAAAGGGTGCCAGGGAGACTCCGGGGCACTACCCAGGAAATGGCGTTTCATTACATTCAACGCTGGATTTTTGTAGGGGAGCCCCATTGGTTTCCCTGGAGCTAACTACCCAAAGAGAAATAAAAAAGCTCTTACCTGGAAGGCAGCTGCACTGCACAACCCATCACGAAGATGAGACAACTGGCTACAACTGCCGACCTCAGGCGATAAGACCATTGAGGGCCCCGGCACATTAACGAGATAATGGGCAGCCAGGACCTTGTTCGATCTCCTAAACCCTCGCACCCGAATATCTGCCCAAGACACATTGGCAAACACAGCAGCCAAAACTGCGAACTTTGGAACATCATGAGCGTGAGGACAGACTGCAGGGGATATCCGAGTATTTTAAGTGACAATAGCTCTGGGGTGTACTGACCTGGCTAGATTTTGTTACAGTCATCTCCTGCAAAGCAGTAGATTCGGCCTGTTCCTTACCACCAATGCATCTGCATGCTCCCACATCAAGTCACAACCAAACAACAACAACAACCACATGTGCTACATGTATTGTCTTGACACGCCCACCCCCCCCACCACCCTACCTTCCACGAGAGATGGCATATCTGCCGTCAAGCCAGCCTCTCGACGCCAGACATATGATCGTGATGGTCATTATTTTGCCAGCTTCCAGTCTACAGCTCCAGAATTTTGTCTTGGCCACCACCAACACGCAGAAAGAACACCAGCAGGGTGAAGCCCATCTGGTAATTGAGGCCAGAGCAGGCATCCACCCAGTACAGCTTCATCCAACAAACTGACGGTCCGGATGCCGGCTCGGTGGGCCGGGACTCCTCTCCCTCTCCAAGGGGTGGGGGGAGTTGCGTGAACAAGCTGTGTGCGGTGTGATGACGCATTGCTTGTTAGCTTGTTTCTCTTTGGGGGAGTTTCTAGCCTCTGTTTGGTCTTAGGTTGCAACATTTCTACCAGGAGGGGTCTGTTGTGAAGCACCTACCTTTTTGGGTGCTCAACCCCGGTCAATGGCAGACATGAATACTTTCATTCATGTCTGTTTGAATAATGCTTGTTGGGTGGGATGTAGTGTTGCTTGTTGTTCTGTAATTATTCAATTGTGTTCCTTTTGGTCACGTGCAAAGTGGATTAGCAGCAGCCATGCAAACCTTGATTCAGTGTAAATTAGTGTAACATAACTTAGCTGATTAGAGAAATTGCAACTCTTTTGTGTATATCTTGAGACAATCCTAACAAACATCTACTCTTTCCTTAAAATCTTTATGTAATGATAATTAGGTTAGCAGTAAAAAATATAGGCCTACAGGAGAATTAAATATAAACTGTCAACCTATCATAATTTGAAGAAACAGTCGTGCTGCCTCTACTTCCTGAATGAGAGTGACTTTAGATTGTGAGTGATTGCTTGCTTGCTTGTTTTGCTTTGTACCTCAATGTAAGCTGATGCAGTGCCAACAGACATGTACTAAAACCCTAATCTGACTGATACTGGAACCTCCATACCTTAGAAAAGAAAGCTGTACCACACACACGTAAAATAAAAGAAATACATTATATAATACCTCACTTTTTGTTCCACAGACACTTGCAAATACTTAGTAGGTACTTGGCCTTTTCCCGTGTACACACGGTAGTTGGGGTCAGGGGTATAGTTGTCCAGATTCAATGTGAAGGCTGCCTTACAATTCAGAGGAACTCTGAAATAAAATTTGAGTTTTGTGTATAGCATATATTCAACCTTGAAATTCATTAAACAAATAATCTATTGGTAAAAGCAGACATTAGAGTCGAGCAGTAACGTACTGAACAGAGTTCTCTCGGCAAAAAAATATAGAACAAGATAAAATTACATAGCATTAATAAAAATTAAATGCCTCTGTGTGGCATCTCGGTAACTCCTCTATACCCAGGATCAGGAGCTTCATGCTACGCAGTATTGCACCAGGCACTGAGCAATCTTTCACTCCTACAGAGAAAGATTCACTCCCCGACCAAAGAGCCAGAGCTCAACCCCCGCGAGCACAATTAGGCGAGTACAGAAAAGGGTGGGAAGCTCAGTGAAGTATATTGCCCCTAGATTACCTGTTGTCAATCCAGAGTTTTTCTGCTCCCCCAGCATGGCCTGTAGTCAGCTGTCCCTAAGAATTGCCTTGTCTGTGAGGCTGTTTGTCTTTGTAGCCTGAAGGCCAACATAACCATCATAGCCTGGCTCATCCAGTAACCCATGCAGAAACTGGGCCTGTTCTTGCATGAAAGTTTCCATTCTTGTACCAGCAACATTTCTTATACTGATTGTCAGATTAAGAAGCTGTTGTCCCCCGATGTAAAATAAATTATACACAGTACACACACTTCCTACCATATCTCTCACTCTTGTATGTTGAAATTTTATTGAGTAGATTTTAAACTCGGTCTTTTAGTATCTTCCACGTACATATTATTAGATCAACTCCGTCCAAGTTTTGTTCCAAAGAGCCCAGTTTGAGTGTCTGAAGTTAGTCCCAGTAGTTTAAATACTTCACTGATTCTATTCATGTATACGTCAGTCCAATCCAGGGTATTTACTCACTTTGACACACTAATTCTTCATATCAGAGACCTTCTTACAAACGATCCTTGACAATTTAAAAATTGACATGGCTCATTTAGAAAATCTCCATTTACTTGTTACCTAACTCCACTGACTGTCACTAAATTGTAACACTACTGTCAAACAGGTCTGGGGTAAAGAAAACACACACAAACAGGTCTGGGGAAGAGAATGCAAACAAACAGGTCTGGGATAGAGAATAAACAAACATTATTTCCAGCCTCGCCTGCATAGAGGGTGAGGAAAAGTAGCTGCTTAAAAGCTGCTTTTATTTATTTATAAGCAAGGCCCATTTGATAGTTCCCCTATGCATTCTCCCCATGGTGATAATGGCACTGGATACATGTGAAATATAACAACATTTATCAGAAACTAAACTGAGAAAGCAGCAACTTGTAAAATTACAATGTGACACTTCCATCTGGTTACCTACTGATGAATACCCTACAGCAATTAAAACATTTTCCCCACCTTCAGTCAACAGTAGCTGAACAAAGCAAATTATCTTATACGGTATGAGCTCAGTTATCTGAAACCCGCTGAACCGAATACAGCACAGCACAGTATTTGGATTATCTGGCCAAAATCCTGTCCAGATAATTTTCTGGCAAAACTTCACCATATACATACAGAAATCCGGATAACGGGAGATTAAGTTGTGTAACTTTTCACGAACTACACATTTCAAGATCTACAGTACCAAATATGATGATGAACTACAACAAGGTACAGTAATATGAACAAATCCCCTAGGGCCGTGATGAGAGTTCGAACCGACTTCCGAGAGGATTCCAGACGCACCTTAATCGACTGTGCCACGTCACGGTAAAAGAATTGCAACCGGGAGTTCATCTGCCCTCACACGGATCCTGCAGTCTCTCCTAGACAAACCAGGGTTTTTACACAATTACCCCGTGCAAACGGGCTCTGTCAATAAGCTGTTCTATGTATCTATATGGGTTTGTGAATGTATCCATGTTCTATACGGGTTTGTATCTCGGAGAGATTGCAGGATCTGTGTGAGGGCAGATGAACTCCCGGTTGCTATTCTTTTACCGTGTCGTGGCACAGTCGATTAAGGCGTTTCTGGGATCCTCTCGGACATAGGTTCGAACCCTCATCATGGCCCTTGTGGATTTGTTCATTTAATGCATCACGCTATTGTGATTTCTGTGTGTAATGAAACAATAAAATGAAGTTTCCATTTTAAATTATATTTTTGATTTATAGTGTGTGGAAATTCAAATTAAGTTGGTTGTGGTACAAAAAATTGCAAATGCAGTCATTGTTGGACTTTCCCTCTAAGAATTCTGCTTATCTGGTGAGGGGTCTTTCCCATACAGGTCGGATAAGTGAACTTAGACAGTACCTGACCATTTACCATTCTCTTGATTTCACATTCCCACTAACATTTTCTTTACTCAAATGTTTCCTATTTTACCCAATTCTATGCATGTACTAGACTAACACATTATATAAATTAAGAACAGGATTTACTCACGTTGCTACATCTTTCAAAATAAGTCCAGCCTCCTGTACAGTAGGGATCAGTAAGATGGACTCAACTTGCATCTGATCAAGCAATGTATTTGCAACTACAATATTACTGGGGATGAGAACTGACCATAGAGAAGGATACATGTTCGACTGCACCTCAAACCTTCGCACATCATGTACCTAAAATGGAAAACCAGCGTTTAATGTAATGAAACACCTGCTTGATACCTGCTTGATGGGGTTCTGGGAGTTCTTCTTCTACCCAAGCCCGGCCCGAGGCCAGGCTCGACTTGTGAGAGTTTGGTCCACCAGGCTGTTGCTTGAAGCGGCCCGCAGGGCCACATACCCACCACAGCCCGGCTGATCCGGAACTTCTCTTAGAAAACAGTCCAATTTTCTCTTGATGTCCACGGTTGTTCCGGCAATATTTCTTATAGTTGCTGGGAGGACGTTGAACAACCGTGGACCTCTGATGTATATACAGTGCTCTCTGATTGTGCCTATGGCACCTCTGCTCTTCACTGGTTCTATTCTGCATTTTCTTCTATATCGTTTACTCCAGTACGTTGTTATTTTACTGTGTAGATTTGGGACCTGGCCCTCCAGGTCCCAAATCCACCATTTTCTGGGTAGAGCTCCAGAGGCTCCCTGGATCTATTAAACTGATATTAGCTAATATTAATATGGGGCTTCAGTCATATGGAGTTATCATGCCTACCGGGAACCACTAACCAGAACATGGTCCCCTCAGAGAGGCGAAGGGGAATTGGTACTGTATTGTAGTTAGAAAAAAACATTGTATTCAGTATAAAATGTATTTGTATGTTAATATTTTGGAGGGCGGGGAACGGATTAATTCAAATCCCTTTATTTCTTATGGGAAAAATCACTTCGACTAATGATATTATTATTATTATTATTTTATATAATATATATATATATATATATATATATATATATATATATATATATATATATATATATATATATATATATATATATATATATATATATATATATATATATATATATAATATATATATATATGTCGTACCTAGTAGCCAGAACGCACTTCTCAGCCTACTATGCAAGGCCCGATTTGCCTAATAAGCCAAGTTTTCATGAATTAATTGTTTTTCGACTACCTATCCTACCTAACCTAACTTTTTCGGCTACCTAACCTAACCTAACCTAACCTGTAGAGATAGGTTAGGTTAGGTTAGGTTATTTCAGTAGCCTCATACATCAAAAGACTCACTGAATCTCAGGGAACTTCCATGGTAAGCTGATATGACTTAAATCCAGCATATGGGAGAAATAGGAGAGAGGGCACAGTAACAACATGCCCCTGATATGAACCGCACAGAGAGCTAAACCCCGAGAACTCGGCAAACAAATCACTTTAAACAACCAACCCCAAAGAGCCACGGATCGCAAAGACCCCTCGCGGTTCAGACAGACAACAGAGCGCAATCCAAATGGAGCCGGATCGTATAGCCCCAAGTGAGCTAAATCAGACGCAACGCAAGCCACACTGGATAAAACGCGTGAATATGTGAGGTGGCAGATTCAAGCCAAAAGGAATGCAATGAAAGCAGTAAGCCTACTGCCCCACAACGAAACCTAATCAGTCCCTGAACCCCAGATGAATAGGGATGTGCCAATACTCGTCCTGGAGGTATAGAGACACCATCCAAGAACCCGGCTCCAAAAGAAGCCAGACCTGGGACAGAAAGGTTATCCGAAAGGAGGAACAAGGAATCCAGGGGTTTAGACAGGACAAGTCCAGAATGAACCGAAGATCTGCAAAGTACTGTTTTGGCACTGGAAACAGGCGGGAAACCCACCAAAGGGACAGGGTCGATTTGACCACAATCAAACACACCCACTCCAAGATGACCAGATGTGAAGGAAAAAAAGCCTGCCCCGCCAGCCCTGAACACCCCAGAGAGGAAGGAGCGACCCAATACCACCGCAGGCCGGAAGACACGACCGGAAACGCCCACAAATCGTGTGACCAAGTGCAGTCAAATAGACCCAGATGCACCCCCCCCCAATGCCCTGTCAACGGGGCGACCCCCTCAGTGAGCCCAACTTGCGTGCATGGCGAATTCCGTGCTGACCAGATGAAGACGGTTCTGGACACAGAAGACGGTTCAAACACCGGCTCAGAAACTGGCACCAAAAAAAGGTCCACCCTTGACCAGCAGATGCCAGCGCCCTGGAATGACCCTTCTGGGAAGTACACGAAAGCACACCCCAGACAACCAACATATATGAAAGAGGGGAGCAACTAGCAGAAGCTGCTTGGAGAAACCGAGACAACGGAATTCACAAATAATAGCAGACAAAACAGGGACAAGAACCAAAGAACCAGGGCTCAAGTGGAATCCACAGAGAACGAGAACAGCCTGCCGACAGGCAAGGTGAGAGGCATAAAACAAGGACAATGCCTCCCAGAGGATAGGTGCAAACAGTTTAAGCAACGCCACCGACACCCTGGACGCTGAAGTCAATGCGGCAGATGATGACCCGGCAGCCAACTCCTCTATATCCTCAACAAGCCAGTCCAAGGACAGCTCGAGATGGGAAAAAGAAGCTTAGGACTGAAGCCAAATACCCGTGAGCACGAAGATCTTTCACAGCCAAAGCAGCTGAAAGGGAAGGAACCTGGACATGCAACTGGAGCACACCAACCTCACGAAGAAGCACAGGGGCATACAAGCATATATTAAGATGCTCAAACGTGCCCCCTAAGTACATTTACAACACCATAGTGAGCACCCAGCACTCAAGCATGCTGGAACAACAGAACGTATGTCACGCCCCCAACGAAAAGAAAGGGCAGTCTGCAAGCCAGGAAGATGCCGGCACCTCGTAACGTATCCAATACGGAGAAGAAGACCCGAACACAAGAGACACAGGGTCAAGCACCGAGGTGGAAGCCGGGTCGAGCAGAAGGCACACACCTAGGGCCTCCCAAACGTCCGCAGGGGAAATTAAAAAAGTTGAAAACCTCCAGAAGGACGCAGCCACGGAACCCAAGGGAACCAGGGGGAAGCCAACCCTATATCCTTTATCAAAGTCACACAAGGAAGGGGGGGGGGTACGAAAACCTCAAACCTTGCAACAGTAGACCCTATGCCGAAGGCACTGAAGTCCAGGCAGGGTCGAAAGAGGCCCAAGCACCTCAGGCCGCCTCCCCCCAGCCCCAGAGTCCACCCAAGTAGGATTTGGGGCAGTCATCCTCAATGCTCTTCACCGTTTAAGAAAAGGCAGAGTCCAAGGGAAATGCTTCCAAGAAAGGGACCTGCTGGAAGGACCCAGGAGCCTCTGCAAGAGGAACCGTTCAAATGCCTCTGTCCCCATCTCGAATGGGGCAACCCCCCCCCCCCCGAGCCTCATTCCCAGCTAAACCCTGCCCCGACTCCGAAACCCTTAGACGTTTTTGAGCCGGAAGCAGGGGAGGGGGGAAGGGGGGGGAGGAGGAGGAGAACAGTGAACGACACCATTCACCATTCACAAGGGGAGAACGAAGGGGCGTGAATGCAACCAAGGTCGAAGTGACCAATGGCTCCCAAGTCCGGGTTTTTATAACCAATACAGGGCAGCCCCGGGGCATTCGAGTGGGCAACCAACTGTGTGCGTTGCAGCAACCTAAACCTAGCATGCAACTGTTAGCAAGTGGTGGATTTTGACTCCAAGGGCCTTTTCTTCATCAATCTGATGTAATGTAAAGCTATTAACAGTATCGCTCACTTTGGACATCGATCACGTCCATTTTTTCTCTCGAGTCCTAGTCGTGGACAGGACTTGCGTCTACTACAAAAATATTTGCATAAAATTCATTTTTTATCAGATCGACCTCGGGATAGTTTCAAAATAAGTGCCTTTAGAATGTGCACAATTTGATATCAAAATGAAAGATGTAACATGAAAACGTGATGTCAGAACACTTGAAAGATTATAAATACTTTTTGGGTACAAATTTTAAATTTAAAAATATTTGTTAAAATTCTATTTATTGTGCTATTATTATGAGACTAGTTTTAAAATGCACGCCTTTATATTGCGAACAATTTGATACCAAAAACGAGCGCTGTAACATGAAAATTGATGTTATCAAACTGAACGAGTACACACATTTGGTTGTGGTGTGCAAATTGGTGCTCGTTCACGGGTAATTTTAGGCTTTGCTGCGGGGAGTCTTGCCAGGCTTTTGGACATTATATGCATACACATCTGCAAGGAATTTAATTGTGAACACAATGATACCAAAAGGAACGACGTAGCACGAGAATTAAGGTGAGAAAACTGAAACGAGTATACACATTTATGCGTCGCCGCACGCGTGCCCGCACCATTGGCTCCATGACGTCAAAGTCTGCGGTGCTCACACGGCACGTGCGATAGTGTTAAAGAGCATTAAACCAGTTTTCTGACCATTTGTGGAGTTCATGTACATCTCTTTGTAAGGCTTCAATATCATCATCATTTCCCACTTTATTATAAATCTTTGAGTCATCTGCAAATTGGGTCATGTAATTTGTATGTTATGCTGTAGGAATTTGGAAAGTGAAAGTTCCCTGCACATTTCATTTGCACTTCTAGCTTCCACCAATGTTTTCGTGTTGTTTGTCCAACTTGTTTATTCCCCTCAGTATCTTGGCACTAGTCTTATTGCAAACCTCAATGCTTTTCTTGTGTTTTGGTTTTTGTGCTTCAAGAAATGTATATTCCAGCATTGACACTTTCTAGTTCTTACTCGAATTATTTTTTGTCATTAAAAAAATGCAAGAATTTACTCATTTTGGAAGGTTATTTAAGTATATTAATTAGGAAGAACAGCAGCCCTTGGACCAAGCCCTGAGGGAACCTGCTTTCCATTTATCTCCAGCTTGACACACACACTGATTGTGGCTTTAGGCAGTCACTGCATTCAAATGATTTGCAACAAATTAGTAGATATGACATTCATTTATACAGATGATGAGTCACAATAACGTGGTTGAAGATATGATGACAACACCACACACCGGAAAATGAAGAGATGACGACATTTTAGCCCGTCCTGAACTACAATCAACTTGATAATGGTCCAGGACGGATCAAAATGTTGTCGTCTCTTCGTCTTCTGGTGTGTGGTCTGGTCATCAAATTCCTTAATGAGCATGTTAATCTGTCCAATTACTCTTGGTTCCCTAAAATGGGTGAATTAAATATAAAAGGGGCTGTAATTTCTACACAGTTCACCCGACATCGATGCAAATACTGTACCCTAAAATTAAGTAGAAAGTCAACAATTGAACATCATATAAATTGTTTCGTTTAAATTTGAATATGCTGGAGTACAGAGCCAAAGCCACAAACATTATGTCATTGTCCAAATAAGTACAGTACTGATGAACTGTACTGTATTAAACTGTACTGTACTGTATCAGGAATGGAACACAGTTGAGAAAAATAAGCAATACAAAATATTTCAACAAATAAATCATGAGCTTGCAAGATACAAGAAGATTAATTGAATGAAACAAAATTAATAATCTTATACAATAAAAAATATAACTGACATATTGAACAACTTAATTTGAAAGAAAACAAGTGAATTCTTAACTCACCTTATCCCTAAACCTTGACACTATTATAGTTGGTTCAGGTTCTCTGCCAAACTTCATTTTTTTAATAATCGTTGTTAAGACTTTTTTATCATTGTAATTATCTACACAAAAGCTTTTGATCCTATTTCCTATGACAAACTCCGCTACGTGTCCCCACTGCTCATTGCCAAGTTTTATATAAGAACCTGCAAAATAGTATTAAATTACACATTTGTTATAAGTGAAACAATCTACTGATGGACAAAGAAAATGGAAATACAAAATCGTTAATTCATATTTTTCACAGAACTACACAAATAACCGATTTGAAGAAAACCAGCATTGAATGTAATGAAACGCCATTTTCTGGGTGAGCCCCCAAGAGCCTCCCTGGAGCTAATATGCAATACATTAGACCAGGGCATAAGTCAATGGAGTTCAGCCTACGGGGGACCATGAGCCAGAAACTGGCCCCCTTCAGAGAGACACACAGAGCAATGACAATGGAAAAACCTCCTGTGTTTGGGGTTTTACCCTATCTGCTATCGACCGGGGTTAGGCACCCAAAAAGGTTGGCATTACAAAACAGATCCCACACGGTAAGAAAATTGCAACCGAAAACCGACCAAAGGCAGAACTCCCTCAATTCCCAAGGAAACAAGCAAACGTCACACTCCACCACGGCATCGCTCGTCCATGCAACCTCCTGATCTGATCAGTAGGGGGCTGATCATCCTGCTCATCTCTCCAAAACCAAGGGTCCACTTGCCACTCAATATAAAACGTGAACCTTTACCACCGAGAGAGAAACAAGTGAAATGCCCGGCCAAACACTCAATGTACAGTACAACACCACCAGGAAAAGAGGGAATTGGGAAGGGAGGGGAGGGAGGGAGAGAGAGAGAGTCGGGAAGGAAGGGAGGGAGGGAGGGAGAGAGTCGGGGAGGGAGAGAGAGAGTCGGGAAGGAAGGGAGGGAGGGAGGGAGAGAGTCGGGAAGGAAGGGAGGGAGGGAGGGAGAGAGTCGGGGAGGGAGGGAGGGAGAGAGTCGGGAAGGAAGGGAGGGAGGGAGAGAGAGAGTCGGGAAGGAAGGGAGGGAGGGAGGGAGAGAGTCGGGGAGGGAGGGAGGGAGAGAGTCGGGAAGGAAGGGAGGGAGGGAGGGAGGGGAGGGAGAGAGAGAGTCGGGAAGGAAGGGAGGGAGGGAGGGGAGGGAGGGAGAGAGAGAGTCGGGAAGGAAGGGAGGGAGGGAGGGGAGGGAGGGAGAGAGAGAGTCGGGAAGGAGGGAGGGAGGGAGGGAGGAAGGGAGGGAGGGAGGAAGGGAGGGAGGGAGGGAGGGAGAGAGTCGGGAAGGAAGGGAGGGAGGGAGGGGAGGGAGGGAGAGAGAGAGTCGGGAAGGAAGGGAGGGAGGGAGGGAGAGAGTCGGGAAGGGAGGGAGGGAGGGAGGGAGGGAGAGAGTCGGGAAGGGAGGGAGGGAGGGAGAGAGTCGGGAAGGGAGGGAGGGAGGGAGGGAGAGAGTCGGGAAGGAAGGGAGGGAGGGAGGGAGAGAGTCGGGAAGGGAGGGAGGGAGGGAGGGAGGGAGAGAGTCGGGAAGGGAGGGAGGGAGGGAGGGAGAGAGTCGGGAAGGGAGGGAGGGAGGGAGGGAGAGAGTCGGGAAGGGAGGGAGGGAGGGAGTCGGGAAGGGAGGGAGGGAGGGAGTCGGGAAGGGAGGGAGGGAGGGAGTCGGGAAGGGAGGGAGGGAGGGAGTCGGGAAGGGAGGGAGGGAGGGAGGGAGGGAGAGAGTCGGGAAGGGAGGGAGGGAGGGAGTCGGGAAGGGAGGGAGGGAGGGAGTCGGGAAGGGAGGGAGGGAGGGAGGGAGAGTCGGGAAGGGAGGGAGGGAGGGAGGGAGGGAGGGAGGGAGAGAGTCGGGAAGGGAGGGAGGGAGGGAAAGAGTCGGGAAGGGAGGGAGGGAGGGAGGGAGTCGGGAAGGGAGGGAGGGAGGGAGGGAGAGTCGGGAAGGGAGGGAGGGAGGGAGGGAGGGAGGGAGGGAGAGAGTCGGGAAGGGAGGGAGGGAGGGAGGGAGGGAGGGAGGGAGTCGGGAAGGGAGGGAGGGAGAGAGTCGGGAAGGGAGGGAGGGAGGGAGGGAGTCGGGAAGGGAGGGAGGGAGAGAGTCGGGAAGGGAGGGAGGGAGGGAGGGAGAGAGAGAGTCGGGAAGGGAGGGAGGGAGGGAGAGAGTCGGGAAGGGAGGGAGGGAGAGAGTCGGGAAGGGAGGGAGGGAGGGAGGGAGGGAGGGAGAGAGAGAGTCGGGAAGGGAGGAAGGGAGGGAGGGAGAGAGTCGGGAAGGGAGGAAGGGAGGGAGGGAGAGAGTCGGGAAGGGAGGAAGGGAGAGAGTCGGGAAGGGAGGAAGGGAGAGAGTCGGGAAGGAAGGGAGGGAGGGAGAGAGTCGGGAAGGGAGGGAGGGAGAGAGTCGGGAAGGAAGGGAGGGAGGGAGGGAGCGGGAAGGCAGGGAGGGAGGTAGTCGGGAAGGAAGGGAACTGCTAGCGGGCATCCCCACAGCCCCGGGGCAAAGCCGTCCTCCACACCTTCTGCCCTTAAAGAAACTGAAGAATCCAGAGGAAAGGCAGCAAAGAAAGGGCCGCTGGCAAGACCCAGAAGCCGCCCAAGTCTCGGCACCAACTAAACCCTGCCCCGACCCCCACAGACAGTCACGAACCGTGAACCAGGAGGGAAAAGGGGCGAATAGCACCTAACCAAAACAGGGCGGCCCAGGGCATCAAGGTGGAGAAACCAACCTAGAGCATTACAGCAACCTAAACCAAGCTTGCAACATGGATGCCGCCTGTACTCTGAACAGTAAGGACATCAGAAGAGTACTGGAGAACAAGCAAAGAAAACATCTTGCAAGACTAAGGGTCAAGATGTCAGTGACCCAACTGGCAGCATGACGGAGGTAAAAGTGGCGACTATAACCCGGAGAAAAGGGCACAGCAATCAACGAACCCACACAAGACAGGATGAAACCAGGAAGACACAGCCAGTGGTCCACCGAGCCCCAACAGGGTTTTCTAGGGCCTGTAGGCTGACTGCTACGGGAAGCCCGGGCATGGTGTTGCTAACTGTTTAACACCCAAAACGAACAAGGGGTAGATGACAACACTGAAAACCGCTGCGATGTGTACAATCACAGGGGCCTAGCAAAGGACCACCAAACACTACCAGTGGAACTATAGCCACACTAGGCAGACCCCCACCAGGCAAATGAAAATAAAAACAAAAGAAAAACCCCGCAAAAGTACACTGTCCCCAGAGGCAACAGGAACTGGTCGTCGCGTAGGTGGCAGGCTGCACAACACCTTGATGCCCTAACCAGCACAATACCAATCCCTACCCAAGGCCAAACAAGGGCCCCAAGGCCCAGCTGGCCCCAAGGGTGAGGCAAATGCCGAGCAGCAGGAACCCCTATGGGAATGGTTCCTGAACGCCCCAGGGAAGATAACCCTGACTCACAGGGTTATCTTAGGGAAGGAAGCCCCTAAGTGCATGCAGCCCTGGTTCTGATGAGGAACACCTGGCCACCATACTTCACAAACACAGCAGTGAGCGCCACGGAGGCAAACACAGCCTAGGAAACCGAGGCCAGAGAAGCGTCTGTCCTGGTTGACATTAGCTTACAAACTGAAGTGCTATGCAGCTGGCGCAGTGAAGTCCGGGGACCCCCCTTCCCTCTCAGGGAGAGGAGGGCTGCGTGGACAAGCGGTGCAGCAGTAGTGTTACGTTTACTTGTTTACTTGTTTCCATGGGATTGAAGGGAGTTACATCTCTCTGTTCGGTTTTTGTTGTTAGTTTCTTACCATGTGGGGACTGTTTTGTTATGCCTACCTTTTTGGGTGCCTAACCCCGGTCGATGGCAGATAAGGAAAATCCCCAACCACAGGGGTGTTTTCCAGGACCATTGCTCCCTGAACCTCTCTGAAGGGGCCAGGTTCTGGCTCATGGTCCCTGGTAGGTCTGAACTCCATAGCTAATGTCCTGGTCTAATATAAAATACATTAGCCCAATAAGCTCCAGGGAGCTGTAGGGGCTCCCCTCAGAAAACATTATTTCTGCTTTGTTTCTGTAACTTTTTTTTTATGCTTATGTCTGTTTGGCAGAAGTTTATACATGTTCATACACTTTTTCACTCTGATAAGTCTTGTTTATCTCCCCAAAAATCTCAAAAACACTGGCACTCCCAATCCCTCAACCCTCCCACAACAACAATAGCTCATGTACAGTAATTTTTGTCTTGTTAGGTTGGGGTTTGGTTACATAAATGAACATTATCAAGAACTTCATTAATCTTGACAAACGCTTTCAAAGGATACCTGATCACCCAGGCTGTGACTTAAATGCCAGGCTGCAAACAGCCGCATCAAACAGACTGGTTGACCAGACCATTAACCAGAAGGCCTGGCCAGAGATAGGGATGCAGGGATTTTGACCCTTGGAATCATTGGCGTGTAATCAAGCAAAAACTCCAATAAGCTAAAATTCCTTCTGTAACTAAATTCTTTCATTCCTCTCCTAACCAATTTCATTACATTTCTAGGCATGCCTTGGTGGCTCCCCAATTCTAACCCCCCCCCCCCACACACCCTTTCAAATTGTTCGTTGGAGTGTCTTTGTGTTCTGCTCCAGAACTGACTGCTTGGGTTAGTGGACAGCATGAGCCCCAGCACCACCTCCCTCCCTTAAATTAGGAGGGGTGGGGCAAACGAGTGCACGCTGTTTTGAGAAATAATTTGTTTACACTGTTGGAGTAGTTTATTCAGCAGGTTGAGAGACCTGAGATTGAGTCTGTTCTGGACACAGCAGTGGTTTGTGCTGGTTTGCTGACTTTCTAGGTGCCTTTTCTGATGAGATGGAGGAGTGTAGCCTTCTTCTTACACCTCTTGTGAGGGAACAACGTTCTGGCTCTGATCCTTGGTAAGCTGAACGGAACTCAGCGGCTGATGTGGTCTAGTAGTTGGGAGCTGTCTTGCAGAGATGGCTCAACCATTCAATTGTGGTTCAAGAAACCACAGGGAATCCCCCCAGAAAAAGATACCTTCATGCATTCATTTGAGCAGAGAAGTTTCCTACAACATGTGCCTCTTAGATAATCATGCAATGCTCTACCATATATATTATATATTAGTATAACTTATATATTTTGTATAAATAAACATTATTATTACTGTATTATTATTTTAAAGAGAAAATAAAACATGACTTACCCAGGGGCCCAACTGGTTTTTTAGAAAATGCTCCTCGTTCATAGGCAATGTCAATTTCCTGAAGAAGCTGTGGTACCCAATGGCCAAATACAGTGGAATTGTTGCTTTTCAAGCTTCTCAGTTCTTGTTCCAGTGACTCTGAAATTAAAGCTTGTGATTACAATTTCAGTGAACATACTGATACAGTAAAAGGTTACTGATCTAGACTGTTTTTTTAACATTCCATATCTAGTAATACATGTTAACACTTTCTCTGAGGGATAACGTTATTGTCGTCCTAAAATCAATACACATAGTTCACGGGAGGACGACAATGTCATCCAAAATTTAAATATTTGTAAAAATTCCATTTAGTGTCCGATTATTATGGGATGTGCTTTAAAATACACAGCAAAGTCTTGCCGCTCTCTCTATAACCTACGTGCCATCACACTACACTGCTGCTTGAGTGGCCACCAATACAGCAGGTGGCATTGTGTGGGTGGACACTCACCCACCCTACCCTCAAATTGAAACGTGTGCCCATTTCGGTTGTTTTACCGCTGGTATTTTTTGTTACTGCCTATATAAACACAAAACACAAAAATGAATGATATAGTGTAACAAATAATATCGGGAATGAATAACAACTGTAAACAATGACGAAGCCATTTTTTTCACATGATGTAATTTATCTTATTTTATTGGCAATATTGTGTGTTTACTAGTTGTGTTTTTACGGGGGTTGAGCTTTGCTCTTTCGGCCCGCCTCTCAACTGTCAATCAACTGTTTACTAACTACTTTACTATTTTTTTTTTCCCACTCCACACACACACACCCCAGGAAGCAGCCCGTGACAGCTGACTAACTCCCAGGTACCTATTTACTGCTAGGTAACAGGGGCATTCAGGATGAAAGAAACTTTGCCCATTTGTTTCTGCCTCGTGCGGGAATCGAACCCGCGCCACAGAATTACGAGTCCTGCGCGCTATCCACCAGGCTACGAGGCCCCTACGAGCCTGTTCTATTTGACCTTCTATGCATATATCCCTTTAGAGCATTATATTGCAAATAATTTGACACCAAAATGAACAACATAGCACAAAAATTGAGGTGAAAAAACTGCAGAGTATAAACACTGTAGTGTGGTTGTCAACGCACGGCCTACCTTGCGGTGCGCTGCTGGTGGCCCACTGGGGGTGGGAAAGGTGTTGAAACAAAAACAAAACTCATACATTAGACGTTAAAGGGACGACGATTCATTTTTACATCATTAATATGTGGCTTTAGTGTTTTTGGTGTGAAAATTGGTATTATTCTTGTTTTTTTGATGATGAAATATCTGATGAGAAAAATCAAGTGTTGAATGTAACAAAATAACTCTTATTGGTCAGCCACTTAGAAGTTCTCCGATGCTACAACTTGGCAATGACCACGCTTTGCTGATCACACCATGACTCGGAAGATCCATGAGCCCTACCAGGAACCAGGATCAGAATCTGACCCATCAAAAAAGGCAAAGATCAGAGATCACAACAGAAAGAAGCAGAAAAATCAACTAGAAAGTTAAAACATTCCAAAATAAGCAACTGTTTTGAAAAATATGTAACCAAATAAAAATCATATAAACAATAATCACCACAGGAAAATTCCAGATGTAATATGCCCACCAGCCAAAAAATGGTGGCTCAGACAGATTAGGGTCTTAATGAACCAGTCACTACAATAGACAACCTGCCAACTCACACAGGAAAGAAAGGAACAGGTCAGGGATGGGGAGTGTTTCTAGTGCCCCTCTAACTTCTTTCAAAAAGACACAGCCCAAAGAAACACATGACCAACTGGGACTAGGTACACTGACTGAATACTAGGCCACCAGAGCCCTGTTAAAAAGCCAAAACCTAGAGTTGAATGTAATGAAACACCTCATTCTGCATATGTCCCAGTGGCCCCTTGAAGCTATCTCACAGATTACTCCATGCAATTGGGTCACATCAGACGTGGGTGTTCTGTTTGGTCTACCGATGACCAGAAAAAACAAATTTGGCTTCCTCACAGAGGTGCGGAGAGCAAGTAACAATTCACCACCACACCAGGAAAGGATCCACAAAGCCAGTGAAGCATTACAGAGAACTGGAAGGATAACAAAGGCCAAAGCCACAAAAATGCAAAACAACTCCACAGACGATTCATACTGAAAAAGAGAAACATTCAAAATTAGTGCGAAACCCATAGTACCAAAAGCCACTATCAGGTGACCTGACTTCCACATGCTGCCACCTTCCTTATCAGTTCGGATGATGATGAACAGCACACCAATGAAATGACTAACCTGGTAGGGAGGGAGACAGGGAACCACTGGAGCTCATCCAGAAAGAGGCATTTTACTACATTCAACACTGGGTTTCTGGAGGGAACTCCCCTTAAGCTAACTATCCACAGTGAACAAAAGCAGGACTGACCAGGAAGGAGGAGAGGTGGCTTGCACTAGGATACCTTACCTTACCTTGAGGTTACCTTGAGGTGCTTCCGGGGCTTAGCGTCCCCGCGGCCTGGTCGTCGACCAGACCTCCTGGTTGCTGGACTGATCAACCAGGCTGTTGGATGCTGTAGGATGAGAGAATCCAGGAAGGAAGACAGCACAAGGAAACACATGACCGTTAAGAACAAGGACCTTAAGCAAATACCAGGCCGACAGAAACCCTATTAGAATGTCAAAGCCCCAGAGCCCAAATACCAGCCCAGGACATTTATTAATTTATTTATATATATATACATACATAAGAAGGTCCATTGGGTTTATGAGTACATAGCATTGATCTTTTTACATTCTTGTAAAACCACTAACACGCATGGCATTTCGGGCAAGTTAGGACACATTGGAGAAGAGCTGCCACCAGACACAACAAGTACTGTAAAGCACCTCCATCTGGACCAACCAAGCATCAATCACCAACGGATCTCTGCAAAAACTAGCCAACTCATTCTTTGCTAGAAGAGAAGGGAAGGCTGCAAAAAGAACAAACTGTCTACTAGCTATAGAAAGATAGAGAGATATATACATATACTGTACATATATTCATTGAATATGACTGCATATTCTGTGTTGATTATTTTCTTGTTTAGGGCTTCTATCCACCTAACTAGTACTCTTGTATCTTGGTTAAATTAGAAGAGGATTTCTCCATAATGTCAGATTTGCTCAAGGTTGACTAAAAGAAAAAATCCAGTGTTGAATGTAATGAAATACCATTATCTGGGAGTGACTTGGAGACTCCCAGGAGCAATACAAGTTGATATGTTAATGTCAGACTTTGGCATCAGTCATGTGTACGGAGTTCTTTGGGCCTACCGGGGACCATGAGCCAGAACCTGGCCCCCCCCCCCACCTCACAGAGGCACGAGGAGCAATGGCCTATAGAAGCCTCCGTGTGGTTGGAAGCATTCTATGTCTGCCATCGACCGGGTCAGGCACCCAGAAAGGTAGGCGCCCCAAAAACAAACCATTATTCTGGTGAAAATTGCTACAAAAAGTCGAACTAGTGGACAGAACTCCCCCAAACAGAAACAATCACGACGTCACACGTCATGTGACGCTGCCTGCGCAGCTCTCCCTATCCCGGGAGTGGGAAGGGAGAGCCCCAGACCCCCACGCCGGCAATCTACACCCCAGTTCTGAGGCTGGATATCAAAACATGCGAAAACCGCCGACCAAGAGGAGGGAGGGTTGCCGGGGAGCCTCCAGGTCTCACCCAGAAATTGGCGTTTAATTACATTCAACGCTGGTTTTCTGGTGGGAGCCCCTTCGCCTCCCCAGTGCTACCTACCAAAAGATGAAAACCAGGACTGTTACCTGCAAGACTTAAAACTTACTCGGGTAACAGAATTACCCAGGAGGCGGTCGCCGCTTACTCGTCAACGCAAAGTCGAGACAACTGGCTGCAACCGCCGACTCAAAGCGACATAGACATGACTAGGCCCAAGAATGTTCACCAAGTAACGTGCAGCCAGGACCCAGTTCAACCACCATAAACCCCACACCCGAATGTCAACCCAAGACATGTTACCAAAAACAGCCGCAAGTGCAGCAAACTTACAAACGTCATAGGCACGAGGATAGACTGCAAGCTGGCTAGACCAAATAACCCTGCGAAAGACCTGAGAGACCCAAACCCTGGAACAGGGAAGAAGGAAAACCAGATCAACCCAAAGAGCATCCCCGGCCACGGAGTCCATGGTGCGCGAAAAACAACAGAGCCACAACCGGACACAACACATGATGCACCACCGGCCTAACTAACAAAGCATCAACAACCCAAGGACACCTCCGGAAAGCAGCAGTGTCATTCTTCGCCAGAAAAGAAGAAGACGGCTGCAAACGAACAAACCTACCACCAGGACCAAACGAGCAGAAACCCCTGCGCCAGAGGAGAGTATGAAGCTCCCCGACCCGATCCCTAGGGGCCAATGCCAACAAGAAGAGAGCCTTAGGGAAACCAATAAAAGAGCCTTAGGGAAACCAATAAAAGAGCCTTAGGGAAACACTCCTGAATCGAAGAGGTCACTACAAATCGAGGAGAAGAGACAAGAGAGCACCCTGTCCAGCGAACAGGATGGCTAAAGTGACGCACGAGCAGGTCGGAGGTGACAGTATTCGGCACAAGATGACGGTCCTGGAACAACCAAGAAGAAAGGACAAGAAAACCTTAACAGACAGCAAAGTAACCTACGAAGCGAAAGAAAGAAAGAAATGGAAGGACCTCCAAGAGACCTCGTACTGCCGCCGAGACGAAGCCCGCAAGTGGGACACCATCAATGAAGCCACTGACCACCATAGAGATGATGATAGACCGAGTCAAAAATACCATATGCAAAGACTCGAGAAGATCGAACCAGCCACGTGACGTACTGAACCAATCTGCTGAAAGAGGTGGAGCCTGGGGAAAACCTCTGGGTTTGGACACTGTGTAAGCAGCGTCTAAAACCATGGCTGGGCTAGCCACCATGAGGCCAAGAGGACTACTCTCCCCTGGCGAGTCTCCAAGCGAGTCAGGACCTCGAGCAACAGCGAAACCAGGGAAAAGAGGTAGAGGAACCCCCCACCTCGCCCAGTCCTGCCGAAAGGCAGTCAGGGAAGGGCGCCACATATATCGGAACGTGCCATAACCACGCCGACGCGAAGAGGTCTACCTCCGGGCATCCGAACGTCTGGCAGAGCCAACTGAACGAGTCTGTGTCGACGCTCCATTCCGTGGACAGAGGAATGAACCGGGACAGGCCATCCGTCAGAACGTTGGACACCCCCCAAATGTGAACCGCCAGAAGAGCCAAACCCCAAGAACTCAGCAGACGAGTCACCTGCAGCTGTGCACAGAGTGACCACTGCACCGACCAGACACAGACGGTTCTGAAGGCACCGCCGGCCCCGAAACTGGCACCTTTGGCCTACCCCGACGAGCGGAACCCCAAACCCTGGCACGACCCTGTCTGGAGGAACCCCCTTGGAACCCCCTGAGAACCAACAAGTCGGACATCAGACGACAGCTGGAAGATACAAGACATCTGCAGATACTTCTCAACCGCGGTCTGCAAACAGCAAGGGACATAAGGGCGAAGACAACCCAAGAGCCAGGGCCCAAGCTTATTCCAAGGAGGAAGTGAGCACAACCTGCAGACACGCTAGACGCACAGCAAAAAACCGCGACACAACATCCTGCAGGATCGGTGCAAACAGCTTCAGCGGCGCAGACAACGCACAAGCAGCCGAGACCAAAGCACTAGACCCGGGAACAGGCCCGAAGCGTCTTTACATCCTCTGCAAGCCAATCCGAAGACAGCTCCAGGAGGGAAAATAAATGTAAGACTGAAGCCAGCAAACCACGAGCACGCAAGTCCTCAGCCACAAGTGCAGCTGACAGGGAGGGTACCTGCACATAAAGGTAAATCGCACCCACATTATGCAGAAGGGCAGGAGAGAACAAGCACGCATTAAGATGCTCGAAGTCGCCCCCCAGGTAAACCTGGAACACCGTCAACGCCTTATGACACTCAAGCGTGCACGTACGACAGAAAACACTTCAAGCATCCAACAACAGCACAGAGCAGTCCGCAAGCCAGGATGACTCTGGAACCTCCTAACAAACCCAGTATGGAAACGAAGACCCAAACCTAAAGGAAGACGGATCCATAATAGAGGCATATTCAGGGTTGCGCAGGAGGCAAGCCGCAATGGCCGCCCACGCGTCAGTAGGCGAGATGTGGGATGCCGAAAACTTCTGAAAAGATGGAACCGGGGAGGAGCTGAACCCAAATCCAACTCGTACGCAGAGGGGGGACAGGAAAACCCCTCTCCTTATAACAGAAAGCCCCGCTCGAGGGTTTGAAAGCCCAGGCAGGATCTAACGGGGTCCCACTGCCCTCCAGTCAGCTCCTCCCCAACCCCAAAGAGGTTGTCCAGTCCAACCAGTTCACATCAGGCCCCGGGGACGAGTCATCCTCCAAAGCCTCGGCCTCAAGAAAGAGTCGGGGCAGCTGGAAAGCAGCAAGAGAAGAGGCCCACAGGTCAGACCCCGGCTCTACAGCTGGAGGAAAAGACTCGAATGCCTCCGTCGCCACCCAGGAAGGGGCAACCCCCGAAACTACCAGAGTCTCAGAAACCTCTTAAACCCTGCCCCGACTCCGAACCCCTCAGACGCTTTGGAGCTGGAAGCAAAGGGAAGGGGGAAGGGGACAGAATGAACCACAACAGGGGAAGAATGAGGAGGGTGCGGACTGAACCAAGGCCGAAGCGACCTATAAGCAAGTCCGGGTTCCTATAAGCAAAACGTGGCAGCCTTGGGGCATCCGGGGATAGCAACCAACCTAGCACATTGCAGCAGCCTATACCTAGCATGCAACGCCTGAGCCGCCTGCACAAGAAGAATGTCATCAGTTGATTGGGTGAATTGAGTTACAAACAAGCAACAATGCTCGCAGGACCCTGAGTTAAAGGTGTCACCTACCCAACAGGCAGCATGACAGAGGCAAAAACAATGAGTGTCGCCCTGAGACAAGGGGACAAAGCAACCCTCAAACTCGTACAAGGCGAGAGGGGGCCCAGGGGTCGCATCCATCGAACCCCGTGCTCCCCCGCAGGGATTCCCAGGGCCCTTAGACTGGTATTGCTAAGAGTAAACACAGGCGAGGTACTGTGAACCGGAGCCAAAATCTACCAAACAAACTGCTAAAGCTGAACCCTCGGGACGTGTCCACTCACAGGAGCCATGCAGGGGGTACCACCAAACACAGGAGGGCAAAACCTTAATATAACCGGGGCAAGGGACACAGGCATAACCCCCCCCCCCACAAGGCAAAAACGAAAAGAAAAACCCCGGAAGAGGACAACGTATCCAGGAGGAACAGAGCCGGCTGCTGTAATAGGTGAAAACTAGCTGCACAGTACCCCGTACCCCTACCAGTGCAAAAACTACCACTTACACCAAGGTAAACAAGGGAGGAACCCCCTCCCCCCCACAACACACTCGGGGCAGTCAATCACTGAGCAGCAAAAGAACCCAAGGTGACTTGTGGAAGATAAACCCAAGCTCCTAGGGCAGTACTTATAGGGCACTCAGGGAAGGGAACTCTAAGCACATGCAGCCCAAGTATCTGTGAATATTACTCCCAGCTCGCACACCACCTTAAAAGCAGTACTGGACGCAAGGCACAACTGAAGAGAATCTGGAACCACACAAACGAGCCACTATCACATCAGCCGAGGACTGAAGGGTGGATCACTGGCACAGTGGGGTCTGGGGCTTCCCCTTCCCCCTCCTCAGGAGGGGGGAAGCTGACGAAGACATGTGGTGCGGCACGTGTGATGTCATGCTCATTTGTTAGTTTTCAATTGGGGAGTTCCGTTCACTCGTTATTCTTCTCTAGAATACCCAAATCCCCAGAATAGGGATTTGTTTTGAGGCACTTACCTTTCTGGGTGCCTGGCCCAGTCGATGGCAGACAAAGAATGCTCCTATTCCCATTGCTCCTTGTGCCTCTCTGAAGGGGCCAGGTTCTGGTTCGTGGTCCCCAGTAGGCCTAAAACTCCAATCACACTGACTGATGCCAAAGTCTAATAATACACATATCAGCCTGGATAGCTACGGGGAGCCATCGGGGCTTCCCCCAGAAAATAAAATCACACTAAAGCATGACAATATACAACAGACTGGCTAAAACAAGTGACGAGCAAAATGCAAATGCAGAGGAAAATTAACCATCAGAACTTACGATATTCGCTTCTCAAAGCTTTTTCTTCCTGAAACATGTTGTCCAAAGCAATTTTTTTCATATCAACAGTGTTCTGAATGTTCTGAAGATGAGATTCCTCAGTTCTCCTGATCTGTTCCAGCACTTCTATTTCACTCTTTTTCTCATTCACCTTTTCCTGCCACACTGTATGCTGCCTCAGCCATTTAGATTGTGCCCTCCAAGGAAAAAATAATAATAATTACACTTAAATTTTACAAAAAAATTATATATATTCATACACATATAAACACACACACCTTAGCATGCTGCAAGTACTGTAATTCACTTATAAAACCAAATAAAAGTTTAATTATAAAAAGTCAATTTTGGTAAGAACAGGTATTCATACGTACTCATCATTATCTTTTGCAACTGCTTCTTTCAAATGAGTTACTTCTGTCTGAATATTTGCAACTTTTCGTTCAGCAGTGAGGCAATGCATTTGTTTGTCCTTGTGCAGCTTTTTTGCTCTTATCATTGACTCATTGGACGCTTTTACTTGTTGTGAAATGTCCATCACCTTGTTGGTCATATTGTTTAGTTCTTCTTGGATCTCACTGCAAGTAAAAATAAAGCATTGAGTGGAAGAAGTCCCTATTTCTGGGTAGAAGTAGAATTACTGGACGACAGAGCCAGAGTGCACGGGGGGAATTGTGTGAAACCCTGGTTCGGCTTCACAGGAAGCTTCGGAAATCCTCAAGGGTGCAGTAGTACCCAAGGTTGCAATTCTTTTAACCATGTCGTGGAGTAGTTGACTAGTAGTTGCATCTAGTAACACCCAATGCATAGGTTCGAATCCTCATCATGGCTCCTGTGAATTTTCTCACTGGTATCAAAGTTATGAAAAATGAACTATGAAGACAGGCCAAGAAATAAAATGATGACATTTCAGTACTAGTATAAGAGAAAAGGACAAGAGGTAAAATAATAACAACATACAAGATACTGGGGGAGAATGGATCGACCAAGTGGATTGGGACAGTGTTTCCCAGGCGAGGGACAATAAAACAAATGCACACACATAAAACCAGCACTGAATGTGATGAAACACCATTTTCTGGGTGTGATCCGGAGGCTCCACAGAGCTATACAGGCTGATTTGCTAATGTCAGACTTTGGCATCAGTCATGTATGGAGTGTATGGAGTTCTGTGGGCCTACCGGGGACCACGAGCCAGAACCTGGCCCCCCCTCAGAGGCAAGGGAAGCAATGGCCTATAGAAACCCCCGTGTGGTTGGAAGCATTCTATGTCTGCCATCGACCGAATTGGGCACCCAGAAAGGTAAGTGTCCCAAAACAAACCCCTATTCTGGTTAAAATTGCTAGCTAACACCGAACTAGTGGATAGAACTCCCCAAAATGACACAAGCAAACTAGCATGATGTCACACGTCACCACACCGCTGTCTGCACAACTCCCCCCTCCCCGGGAGAGGTAAGGGGAAACCCCAGACCCCCACGCCGGCAATCCACACCCCAGTTCTGAGGCTGGATGTCAAGAAAATGCGAAAACCGCCGACCGGAGGGAGGGAGGGATGCCGGGGAGCCTCCGGTCACCCAGCAAATGGTGTTTCATTACATTCAAAGCTGGTTTTCTGGAGGAAGCCCTGTCGGCTCCCCAAAGCTAACTATCCACAGAGGAAAGTAGAGGGACACATCCAGGAGGTGGTCGCTGCACGCTCCACAATTCAAAACCGAGACAACTGGCTGCAACCGCTGACCCAAGGCGACACATGCCCGACTAGGCCCAGGAACGAGTACGAGACCACGAGCAGCCAGGACCCTGTCTGACTGCCAAAAACCCTGCCCCGAATGTCAAACCAGGCCACGTTGCCAAAAATGGCGGCAAGACCCGCGAATGTACGAACGTCACGAGCACGGGGATAGACAGCAGGTTGGCTAGCCGTAAGAATCCTACGGACGACCTGGAAAACCTGTACCTGCGTACAGGGAAAAAGGGAAACTGGAGTAACCCAAAACGTGTCCACAAACACAAAAGCGAAGGCGCGCAAAAAACGGCAGAGAACCGCCACAGGCCACAAAACACGATGCACCCCCGGCCTAATCAACCATGCATTAATAACCCAAGGACCCCTCCAGAAAACAGCAGTCTCAATCTTTGCCAGACAAAAAGGAGACAGCTGGAGACGAAGAAACCTACCGTGCCGACCGAAGCAGCAGAAAACCAGAACAGGGGGGGGGGGGCACCATAAACCGAGGAGAAGAAAGAATAGAGCACTCTGCCCAAAGACCAGAACGGCACAGGCGGCGCATGAGCAGGCCAGAGGTGAAACAACGCACGAGGCAGCTTGAGGAATGGTTTAGAAGTAACATCAATACCGAATGCAAGCAAAAGCGGCTCCGCCAGCGCCGCACAATTCGAGGTGACAGTATGCAGCAAAATGACAGCCCTGAACCCCCCCACAAGAGAGGAACAAGACAACGCCAAAACAACACAGCCACCTAAGAAGGGACAAAATGAAAAGGAAGGACCGCCAAAAAACCCCACACCGCCGCCAAGAAGCATGCAGGTGGGACACCAGCAACGAAGTCACCTGATCACTAACATAAGGCGAGACTCGAGGCAGAGCCGAACGAGCCGAGGAAGAGGTGGAGCCGCGGGAAGACCCCGGGTGCGACCATCGAGCAGGCAGAGCCGGAAACTCGAGCTGGCAAAAGAGGAGATGGAACGTCTGCCGTACCAAAAAAACATCCCAACGCCAGCAAGCCGCCAGAAGGTTGGAGACCAAGACCCCGACAGGCTCCAGAGAAGGGACACTGCGAGACTCCGAAAACGCCAACAGGCCCGGAAAGCCAGGAACCAGAATCGAAACCTGGCAATAGGAGAGCCAAAAGGCACAAACAAAACACACAACGTGTAGAACAAAAGGAAGCTGAGGAATGAAGAAGGTAGGCAGCAAATGGGAACAAAGGGACTGGACCAACACCAAAAGCCGCTGGACATGTCACAACATGTCCTCGGGAGACAGAAGATCCAGAGGGAACATGACCACCACAAGCAAAATTCTCAGAGGAAACGACAGGGGAAGAGAAATACAAGCCAAGGAACACATGGGGCACACGTAACGGGGGAAACATGTTACCTGGTAGATACCTGGTTGATGGGGTTCTGGTTGTTCTTCTACTCCCTAAGCCCAGCCCGAGGCCAGGCTTGACTTGTGAGAGTTTGATCCACTAGGCTGTTGCTTGGAGCGGCCCGCAGGCCCACATACCCACCACAGCCCGGTTGGTCCGGCACTCCTTGGAGGAATAAATCTAGTTTCCTCTTGAAAATGTTGAACTGAAATGTTGAACTGAACGCCCAAATGAGCCGTAGAAAAGAGAGAAGAAGCACACCAGTGTCCATAGAAGACAATAGGAACGCATGAGGAAGGGAAGTGGCGGAGGCCAACCCCGCACCCAGCGTCAAGTGCAGAGAAGATAGCCTAGAAAGCTCGAGAACCTGTACAGAAGTCAAATGACAGGCTGGAGGCGGGACTAAGAGCCAAAGCTCATCCCCAGCAAGCACAACTAGGCGAGGACAACTAGGGGAGTACAGAGAATTCAATGTACATGGAAAAGCGAAGCCTGGTACAGCAAGACCGGCAAGGAATGAGGGACCCAGAAAATCATGGGAACAAAGAACCCAAACAAGATAGGCCCCAGGAAGAAACACGGAAGGGCCGAACAAAACGCCACAACCATACCCCAACACACAACCGCAGTATCAAAACCGCAGCAAAACGTCACCACACAGCACCCCTGGACACAGGAACATGTACCACAAATCAGGCACCTCCACCTTTGTACCCTGGAAAACGGTGGAGGCGGGGGCCCCGAAACGCAAGCATGGATGGACATGCATAGGAGAGGGACTGGATGGGCAAAGTCAGGAGCCACCTCATATGGGCCAAGAGGCCTCCTGCAGTCACCTGTGTTCTGACGTTCGAATCGGGAGGTAAGGAACAAGAGCCGCCACGTATGGGCTAATAGGCCCGCTGCAGGCACCCCTGTTTGTATGTTCCTTGTTCTCATGTATGTATGTACTCCCATTCATACCCCCAAAACGAACCAGCACCTGGATAAAGGAAACGCCATACCGCTTAAACTCACCTGCAGAACATAGGCACGAAAGGATCACGACAATGTTACTAAGTTGGTGCTGCTGAAGGTGCTAGGTGCCGGTTGGTGCTAGGTATCGTGCACCCACAGCCCAGAAAAACGGGAGCACCACCCGCGGAAGCAGGCCAGAGCCGCTCATGCAGGAGAAAAGGAGGGGAGAGGGGAAGGAGGCGCCCCCACCCAAAACGCAGGGAAAACCCAGTGTCCTCCCCATAGCGGCACTCCAGAACACTCCCAGGAGCAACGCGGCACGGACTGCAGAATGAGAAGAGCGAAAGGCAAAGCACTCTAGAGAAAATGGACGGAGAACACCAGCACATGTGCACACCGCCCAAACCAAAACAAAATCCCACAGAGCATGCGCAGGACACTAAAGTAGCCCAACAGTTTGTATCCCGAGTGATTCGCTCAAGAGAAGAAACAGCCCAACGCACAGAAACAGAAGCCAAAAAGGAGTAAGCAGCGACACATAGTCGGCTCAGTTAATGAAAACAATGAACCGAACTGGAACCCAACCGGGCTACCAGGAGCCCAACTGGGCAACAAGTAGCCCAACCAGGCCACAAGTAGCCCAACCAGGCCACAAGCAGCCCAACCTGGCATCCCGGACCAAGAGTATGGAAGGAAAACGAGCAGTGCCGAGACAGCACGGAGAGAAGATACATGAACAAAAGAACGAGATGGGGCCGAAAACCAAGAGGAAACATGGAAGAAAACCAACAAGCCCTAGAAAGGACTGGTGAGAAGCCTCACCGAAAGACGACAGACATTCCAATAATAAGGGAAGGAGCAATAATCATCCTGAACCTTCGAGAACACAGAAGCAGGTACAAATGACGAAGGCATAGAAAGGCCCAGTCACACCCGAGACCAAAAGTCATGCAGAACCCCAAGAAGAGGGGAACATGACGGAGAAGTCCCGTTCCAAGAAAAAGGGGAGGGAATAACGGAGAAGAGCACCCACCGACAGGACGGAACCAACGGGCTTAAAGGACAAGGAACCAAGCCCGGGGAGGGGCCAACGCCCAACAACTCGTGTGGAGAGTGGGGAAGGAAAACCACACTCCATGCAACCGCAAGTCCTACCCAGAGAGTAGAAAAAAGCCCGGTGGGGTTCAACGAGGCCTGAGGCCTCCCAAGGCAGCTCCTCCCCAGCCCCAGGAACCCACACGGCAGGCCCCCCAAAACCCCAGCCTCAAGGAAAAACCTGGGCAACAGTGAAAAGCACAAAGGAAGGGAGCCCACTGGCAGACTCTTACAACACGGCTGGAAGAACAGGCTCGAATGCCCCCGTCGCTACCCCGGAAGGGGAGTTCCCTGAGACCAACCAAGTCTCAAAACCATGGAAACCCCGCCCCGACCTCGAACCAACAAATGGGAAGGACCCAGATGCAGAGAGGAAGAGGGGGGGAAGGGACTCAATAAGACCACCAATC